TGGAGTGGGCAGTTTTGATGAGCTCTAGGGTGTTTTCAAGTGGGCTTATAGGAAAGAAGCCGCCTTCCCAGATTGCATCCTCTTTCAGCTTAAAATTGTTCTATTACTAAACATGCATCATTTAAGCACTGATCAAAGAGACCCCCGTGGCACAGAAACGTTATTGATTCCTCTTGTTACACCTCACCCTGTTCACAGCCCTCATTGAGCCTACAAAGCCGGCGTGGCCAGGGGATGTTACAGCTCCACTGTTTGCAAGGGAAAGGTGTTTATCCACCCTTGTGCATATAAAACACTTCTTCTGCCTGGTGAATTGTTAATTGTGAGCCCTGAGTGAGAAGCTTTCTGCCAGGGCAGGAGGACATGGTGGAAGGGAGAGAGGCACGTGATAGAGATTTGCCGTAACTAGTGGGGTCTGATGTGATTTTTGGAAGCTCAGTGCCAGTTCTGATTTGTGATGCCTTTCAGCCTGGCCTGGTTTCAGCTTTACTGGAGGAAAGGGCTGAAGCTTCTTTAGCAGAGGTACTCGGCGAGCAGCCCGTGCGGATCAGAGGATGTGGTGACATGACTCTTCCAGTGGTCTTAAAAAAGCAAATAAATCTTTCTTGTCATGGACCATATCTCTAAGGTATGCTAAAGTGAAAGGATGAATAGCTTTTCTAAATGGTCTGGATTTTGTATCAGGGCCTGTTTGCAGTGTTCGTATGTAAGGACTCAGTGTACAGCTCTTGTGCAAAAACTTATTACCCCTTTTTTTGCAGCAGCAGCAAGAATTCCTTGGAGAATTACTCAAATTCCAGGCTATACTTTTGTAGTCATGGTAATTTTGTCTGTGGCTAAACTGTGAAGATTTAGTGTGCTGCATTTTTGGTATTGTAAATGGTATTGTCCATGCGCTGATGGTGGTCTAGTGCTGTGCACGTGTGTCTTTAAGCCCTCTCACGTCAGGCGGACACTTTCAGATTTGATGTTTGGAAAGAGAGCTTCTCCTTCCAATTTCTGTATTTGTTTCATTATTATCTTTTCACCACTATTATGAAATTAGGTGGGTGTTTCTAATATTTTACCGAAGAAGAAAAAAAAAATCCTATTAAGCAACTACCAGCCTTTCCCCTTAGCTCAGTAATTGAAAGGGGGGGAGGAGGAGGGTGGTATCTTGCAAATGCAACCACTGATGTCCTTTCACAACAATACTCTTTTTTTTTCCTTTTTTTTTTTTTTCCTGGTGCCTTAGTTCGTTTTAATGTTTGAGTCAGGAGAAGTTGCCAAAATGTAAATTATGACTAGCATACTTTTCCATCCCACACAGAACAGATTATTGATAGTGGATATAGCTGGTTCCTCGTGTAGTTGCCTTGTGGGCCTTCTCCTTCTGCTCAGGTTTAACACATCTCAGCACTCTCTGTCCATCATTTTGTCTTCTCTTCCTGAAGAAGTACAGACATGAGCATTTTCTTTTCGTATTCGCAATTCAGGGGGGAAATGCCAGCTAGAAATCATATTTAGCTTTAAATGTAGCTGTGTGAGCGTTTGTGTAGAAAGAACACGTTATCTACTATTCTTGTGTTATTTTCTTGTTATAAATTTATGCTGTATTACTAAGTCATGCTCATCATGCGTGTTGTGGTACTTCAGTTGCTCTGTCTCTGTTAGGGCAGCTGTGAGCTAAATATTTTATCGGAACCAGAGAAATTCTCAAAATCAGGCTGCTGTGTGGGTGCAAGTTACTGTTTGTGTTTATGTTCTGTTCCTATAAATTCTTTTGAGGTTTGCAAATTTTGCCCCAGCTGGATACGCTATTTTCTCTATCCTAGAGACTGCAAGTAAAGAAAAAAGAAAGAAAAGAAGGACACAGAGCAGGAAAGAGATAAAGAGAACAAACAAGTTTTGCAATAAAGAGATATTTTGAGCTGGGTATTTCATATTGTTTCCTATTGGCCAAACTTCTTCCATGATTTGAGAGGGTTAGCAATGCAATTTATTCATTTGCTCCAAGGGAGAGTCTGCATTTAATATGTGCTCTCCAGGATCCTCTGTTAAAATATTAGGCAATAAAATCCTTGACTGTTCAGTAGTTGTGGTTATAATTTCCCCCAGGTAGTGGAAACTCCATAATTTATCGTTAAGTTTTCCCTTTGCACAGATCGGGGTGGTTGTAGCAGTGTAAAAAAGGCTGTTTTCCTCCAAGTGCATGTGGTGGTTGGTGACCTGGCTCCTCTCCCCTGTGCTCAAAGCCCTCCCCAGCTGCTGACTGGGCATCCGTGAGCACAGACACTGGTGCAGCCCAGGTTGGATCTGTTGTACCCAACTTGCTGTGACCCCCATTGGAAACAGCCCCAGGGCTGCCTGGGCTTCAGGTAGTTTTGTGGAACAGAGAGAGATACCCCAGTTGGTCTGAAAGGCAGAAGTGATTGATGCCACACACACTAGTGACAACTGCTCTTTAGTACAGACACATCTTTCTTCAGCGATGGACTTCGAATGCAAGTTGGCTAAATTGGCTGAGCCGACCCATATTAAGGACATATTTGCTGTATGAACTTATTAAGACTTAATTGCCATGAGCTGTTGGCTCCTCCTGACATGATATGACCATCTATGACCATCTGCACTAATTGACGTTGCAGATCTTCACGGGGTGAGCTGGGCCTAAGGTAATCTGAGGTCATAAAAGAGGCATGGTTTGGGAAGGGGATGCGAGATCCTTTTTTTAGACCAGCTGAGAAAGCTGGAAGAAGCAGGTGGGCTTGGAGCTGCGGATGGGCTGGCTGCAGCTCGCCGCCCTCTAGTTTGAGTTTTGTGAGCGCAGGCAGTACCTTCGTTCAAAAGGAGGAAGCCCAGGTTGGCAGCTGCCTGCAGATGGGCAGTGGTGGTGCCCAGGGTCTCCTCTTGCAGATGTCCTTCACGGCACTTCACTGTCGCACAGGTCTGACCTGTTTTTTCTCCTTGGTGGACTATAGCCTTCAAGCATATAAGGGAAAAAAAAATGCTTAAAGATGCAATGGTTTGGCAACTTGATAGGAAAATGATAGGAGTACCTCATTTGTTTTTTTTTTTTTTTTTTAATCTCACAGTTTTCAGCCACTGTTGTGAATTTTGAGTGTGGAAGGAGGCAGACGGGCACCTCCACCCTCTGGAGGAGCATCGCTGGGATGCAAGCACACCAGCCTCCCTGGACCAAACACAGCTGAATCTGTCACTAAGTCAGCTTTGCCTAATAGGTCCAGATCGGGAGAGGTGTCAATGCCTCTGATCTGAAAAGAATTTAGTGCCTGAATGGGTTTATTCAGCACCTGAGACCATGTTTCAGCCTGGTCAAGGGCTGCATGGAGGGAGAGGCAGCTGATCCCCTACACTGCAGGTGACAATACCAGGCGGCATTAGAAAACACAAGACTTAGCAACTTTTGGAGCAGTGAAAGGTTAAAAAAAAGGTAGCTGGTTCTTCAGATAGCCCTTGCCTCAAATGTGTGGGCTTCAGCATTGGAGCACACAGACAAAGTGTTAACTTCATCCCTGGCGCAATGATACTGGAATGAAAGTTATGCCATGAAGAAACTTGCTGTGCATCAGCCTGCAGTGGGCTCTGCACACTGTATTTAATTAGATGCTGGACTGTGAAGCAATTAGCAAAAAAGTAAGGAAAAAAAGAAGGGAACTAATGGTAAACAAACATAAGCTGCTATCAATGAACATCTAATTTCTACCATTGTCTCTTTCTGCCCTCACGGATCACACTCCCACAGAGAGGAACTCTCACTATTTCCTCCTGTTAACGTGAATTTTGTAATTCACTGCATACAGATGTAAATGCCAAATACCCTGAGGAAGAAGCCCGTGGTGTTGAATCAGTAGTGCAAGAATGCATTTGGTGGTATTTTCTTATCTGCTTAGAGTCTAAAATGCAAAATGTTCAGAAAACTATGTGTTATTAGAGATGATATGGTATCTTCGGTCTGTGTGTCGAAAAAGTCTGAAAATGGAAGAAATTGATCCTGGAGGAAGACCGTGAAAGTTGGTTTCCACACCCCAAATATTGAAGGGCGAGAATCTGAATACTATCATTTGTGCAGCACGAAATATCTCCATGGTCACAACCTTGTGCTGCTCCAGACCACTGTCCTGGATGGCTGTGATGCTCTTTAAAAACCCCCATCTCTTTCCAGCCACGGTGGGGACAGCCAGATCCCTGACTGCCTGGAGCCAGCCGGGTACCAGGCTGTAGGAAGAGGGATGATGCTCACCACGGGGCACTCTAAAGCCATCCTTCCTGGGGATGCTGCCACACTGCTTTCCTCAGAACCAGCTTTCCTTCCTTCCCTCTTTCCTTGGTTTTGGCCCCCAGTGTTGTCCTAGCGTGCCATGCCCACCCAGGGTATCAGAGTCCTTGTTAAACCAGCATAGATACTTGGGGATAATTTGTTAGGGACGTGGCAGCTGGAGAACCTTGTGCTTGAGGTTACTTGGTGAAGAAAGTTTGGCGTGCAGGAAGGGAGAAAGGCAAACACTTCCTCTCTGCCTTTTTCCCTTGGCTGGAAGGAATGATTTTATTTGAGATGATTTATTTTTTTTAAATTAAAGCCTCTGCGAAGTAATATTGCATCTTCAAAACAAACTGCTGATCTCAACTGCTTTTACCAAACACATGCAAAATTTTCCCCTCAGGATCCTTAGAGGCCCTGGAGTGCCTGCCTTGCAAAACCTGGGGCAGTGAACAGAGCACTCGAGAATGATCTCCATAGGATACCTTTAAACAGTGTGCTTACGTGTATTTATAAATATATATATATAGATTTAACACATAAAATTCTATTTGTTATGTTGCTGCATACAGTAAGCAGAAAGAAAAATAATGCAGAGCCAAGGTATTGAAAGAGACTCTGGTAAACTCTGAAAAAGGGAAAAACAAAACCCACTGAGAGGCACAGACACGAGCAATTTTTATGATCGACTTTCTCTTGCCGCTTAATACACGTGGCTGTTTCTTTGTGATCATTCCAGATGCCTCAGGAACAGTACACGCACCGGAGCACCATGCAGAGCTCGGAAGGACCCCAGGTATACAAAGTGGGGATTTATGGCTGGAGGAAGAGATGCCTCTATTTCTTTGTGCTGCTCCTAATGATTTTAATCCTGGTGAACCTTGCTATGACCATCTGGATTCTGAAGGTTATGAACTTCACAATTGTAAGTAAGGGTTACCCTGAAAGGTCGGGGGAAGATGAGGGAGGGTGATGGTCTTTCATGAATTTAGATACGTATTCAATAACAGTGTGCTTTAATTGCCATGAATAGTCATTATTACAGGGAGGAACGAATTTACCCAATGATCCTCTTTTTCTGCTGGAGATGCCTGCAGTATTGGCAAGCTCAGCATTGCAAATCATGTTCCTTCTGCTTGCTGTATATATACATGTATATATGTAAACAATATACACCACCCTCCCTCAATTTTGAATTATGAAGTGTTTTGAAATTAATGAAATAGGCTATTTTTAACTGGGATGTGGGAATGGGTTTGAGCCTTTCTCTTACACTATTTCTGCTTTTCCTCCGTGACTGGGAAGTTGAAAAACTCGATTTGTCTTTTTCTTTGGGAAAATTCGTGAGCCTTTCTCTTACACTATTTCTGCTTTTTTCCTCTGTGACTGGGAAGTTGAAAAACTTGATTTGTATTTTTCTTTGGGAAAATTCATGTTGTTCTGTAACGACATAGTTCCAGAAGCTTCACGAAGAAAAGTAAAAGTTCCAAAGTGGCTTTCTGGGTGGTATTTAGGTGGAGCATGTCCTTATCCTCGTTGTGCTGTGGTTAGTGCACATCAGTCCTGCCAGCAGCATTCCCGTGCTGCACAGACCCCCTGGCCAGCCTTAGCTTTCCTGAAGACTGTAGAAAACAGTTGGGCAGCTGTACTGGGAGGCAGATTGCACTGGGGCAGATGGTGCCTTCTGGGCATGGAGCGCTCTGTGCATCACTTGAACTCTGTTCAGACGCTTTGGGAGAACTTAAGGGGTGCCTTGACCTTGAATTGCCTCTTTACAGGGGGAGCTTCACCTCTCCTGCTCAAACACACTGAAAGTCAGGGCATGAAGAACCAGGCACACCCCACTTCCAGGGCTAGTGAGCCTTTATATGGTAGGTCCTAGTTTTTCAGTAGGTAATTTGGCCAAGCAGAGTGAAAATGAAATGATTGGTCCCCTCTTCTTCAAAGCAGTTGTTGCCACCTTGGTCAAATGGAGTTATTTTAAGATCATTTGAGTCTTCAGCAGAAACTAAGTTTGAGGCTTTAATCCTGGATTTACTTCATGAGAGAGCTGTAAGGCTAAATTCCCGTAGACGCTTTCAAGGACTTTCCCAGCCAGACTCTGATTTGAGCACCGTGTTTGAAGTCTCTCAGCATTTCTTTCTCTGCTTTGGTCTTGTGGAGCCCTGAACAGCTGCGTCCAACATTATGTCATTAATGGGCCATGAGAAGTTGAGTAAACAATCTCTGACGTACTGTATCCAGCAGACAAAGTGCTGTGTCAGGGGGACATGTAGCATTCATTTTCTCTAACCAGGATGCTGTCAAGGTGTGCGGAAGATTGCAATGCATGTGGGCTTAGGGAGCAAGCAATTATAAAGCAGTAATCCACAAAAAGCTCCTGTGAGTGGGTGAAGAGTGAGCCAAACTGGAGCAATTAGTGCTTAGCCAGACCAGTTATTAAATCTTGTGAAACTGATGCTGGTTTGAGACACATTTCATGCTGAACCGTTGTCTTTAGATTAATGTAGTTGAAAAACAGTTTTTTCAGGTTTGATGGAAGACTTGGTCATATGCTTATACAGGCAGTGGTCCATACCAGCTTTGGGTATCAGCCCAAGCCCAAAACAATAGGGTTTCAGATTCTCAGTTTTCAGGAATGCAACTTCATTTCTTTAGAATAACATAACTTGGATATGTTGGTCCCATGCTTTCTGCCATTTGGTGATGGTGGTCAGTCAACTCTCTACAAGTTGCTTGGGAAGCCAGATGAACTTTTCTGCTCCTTTCTCCCTCACTGCCTTCTCCTGATGCATTGCATTTGGCAGGCTGTCTGCAGAAGGGTCATCTCCTAGGGATACCTACAGAAACCTCCTCCTTCCAGCAGCTCTCTCCACTCCACTAGGATATACACTGGCTTTTTTGGAGATGCACAAATCTTCAAGCTCTTGTCTGATTCTGTTTCCTTGAATAGTCACTTGCCCTCTGATTCAGTGGGGATTAGTCCAGTATGTTTGTATGTGCTTTTAGTTAATTCATATCTCCTCATGTTAGTAGGCGATGAACAGGATTTGGTGATGAAAATGCAGACGGTAGCTCTGCATCCTGCAGCGGGAACTGCTTTATGGTTATAGGGATGGCCACAGTAGCCAGGGTGTGTGTCTGTGACACAGCCAATTGGAAAGAAAAGTGAGAACAGAGCATGTAAAATGTGATCCTTGCCCTGGTGTGCACCCATTCATCTCCTGATCTCCCGCTGCTCCTGCAGCCTCACCAGCTGCTTTGGATCCTGCTCTGCAATCCCTCCTGCACCGTTCCCTCAGGCGGAGGAAACTACTGTGCTAAGTGAATTTTTAGAGGCAGATTTTTATCTCTAAATAACAATGTAGGAAAATTCTCAAATGAGGAGAAGCAAATATGGAAAAATCTTTAATTTGTTCCTGTTCTGATAAGAGGAGCTGAGAGTCCTTCTGGGGAGGGGGGATGATTCGAGTAGTCAGTAAGCAAAGGCTGCTGCTTTGCAGGTCTGAGTTACCACAGTGCCTGCAGAGCAAAAAAAAAAGAGAGGAAAGTTTGTAGGTTTTTTCTTGTGGAAAATGTAGTATTTCCAGTATCTTCCCACCCCTGAGCCTTCCTCCCAGAACCCAAGCCTGTTCAACTCCACAGGACAGTCCTGGCACTTACCGGAATTTAATGAGTGCTCATTATAGCCAGTGAGTGCTCACATTATTTTAATGATCATGGCAAACCTGCTCAACAAAACTCGGGGGTGTTTTAAATGCGGATAATGGGGAGTGGAGAAGGGAGGAGGAGATGAAGCAAGACAATCTCAGGGAAGACAATAACACCTCCTCATACATGGTGTAGCAGTGCCCGTCCACTCCCCTTCCACTTCAAGCCCTGGACTCCATTCCTCTCCCCTCTACGTGCCCCACTGGCTCCTGCTCCAGGAGACAACTCCTGTAAAATCAAACTGTAAGCTTGCAATCCATGGCTTTTAATAAGCAAGGCACCACTAAGTTGTTCTAGGTTTTGCTTTCATCTGAACCTTCAAGGCTTAAGCAAATTTATGTGTGGTTATTGCTTTTTACACGGGGCTGTCAGAGCAGTGTCACGTTCACGTGGGGTTGGTTGGTCACTGTCTAGGCTGTCCTCTGGTGCAGTCCTTCACTTCTCATGTAGTATTTGATCCTCGATTTGTTTTAAATGCCTTTATCAGGCACAGACTGAATGAAAAACAGGCCTGGAGGCAACCTCAAGTATCATCTGCCTGTCTCACTGCTGGTTCCCATAGCCAGGCTCATTTATCCCATTCATTTACATCAGTGCTGTGTTGCTCCGGGACTGCGGGAGGCTCTGTGACCATGCATGGTTGCTACCTCTAAACCTTACTTTAATTTTTAAGCCAAACCACGGAATGAATCTGGACCAAAGCCACTAATTTGGTTTGAAACCCAAATGTACCTCAATAACCTAATTGAGGTAGAAACCACCATCCAGCACTCAACTTTCCGATGATATATAGGTAAAGGGAACTCCATTGAGATCCTGGACAAGCCCGGTAGAAGTATGTGGTTTGCACATATTGGGTTTGGGGAAAAAAAACCCCTAATGCCTGCGGGCTGCCCAGTCTGCAGGTCCAGCATCACCCTGCGTGGTGGAGGGCTCAACCTCCAGCTGTGCAGAGCTCAGCTCAGGCTGGCACAGCCCCCACAAGGGTTTGTATGTGCCAATCTAATTACAAGGCTGGAACTGGAGCTCTTAATGACCTTCCTCTTTATGGTCCACCTGCCTTTGCATCCAGTGATGTAGCTCTTTAGCAGCAGGATTGCCCGTGACTGTGTATGTAAGCACATGCATCTGTTATGCTGTATGCCTATGATGTGCTGGAGATGGCTTTGTTGATATTTTGGTTGCTAAGAGTGAGCTTAAACCATTTTTTAAAAGCTTCCTCATGTATTCGTTTCTGAATATTACAACAAAAGGCGTGCTTACATAAACACAGCAATCCAATATCCTTATTTGAAACAGTACAAGGCTCAGAAGGCTCAGGGAATGGGCAATGCCAGTGCATTGACCTCTTTCCACAAGGGTAGCATGCCATGCCTGATGTTCTAAACAGTGTCAGGAGTCTAAAGCATTTTCCATCAGTACCCCTTTGTAGCCTCTTAGGCAGTTGGAGGACCTCTAAACAGGAGAGACAACAACTGTCCTGTTGTGGCTGCATTTAATTGGCAAGTGTCCACCTGCTTGTCTGCCCATCAAACCACTGAGGACCCTTTGCTTTTCCTTGCCCTTCCCTGGTATTTCTATCCAGAGTTGCCTGTTCTCCTTCTGGAACCACTCAAGGTTTTTTGAAGTTTTGGGTCCTTAGCATGAGGTTCAGTCATATTTCATGATTTCAGTAGAGAAGGAGCAAATGACTGCAATTGTTCAGGTTTTTTCTTTTTTTTTTTTTTTTTCCTTTGCTGCAGGCTGCGTTCAGAGTTGAAGGGGGATGTTTTAGCAATGTTGAATGAAATGTTAGCAATTTAGAGAGAAAAAATGCTGCTGTAGGTGGCACAAATGTTAAATATCATTATTATCTTACTTCCTTTATTAAAAGTTGCTAAGAAAAATGAGCTTTTAAAATTTGGTTATGAACAGTTATTTCCAAGACAATTACTCCCTCTTGTGTGTAAACTACCTGCCACATTTTAATTACAGGAAAACAGTAGGGTAATAACACAACAGTAAAGATGGATTAGAGTTAGGAAAGCTCATTGCCCTAACAGGCAGGATTCATTTATTAATGATTTAAAGGAACAGACTTTGCTCTAATTATTTTTTGTTAAAATTAAAAATTGTCTCAGAATAAAATGACTGCAGTTTACAGTCCCCTTTCCATGATTTCTCTGGGGTCTCTTTAGGTGCAATGGTAAGGCCAACATGGGAAAGGAATCTGAT